GGGGGGGGGGGGGGGAGTTCCAGTTCCAGTTCGAGTTCCACTTCCAGGTCCAATTGTGGGCCCGGGTCTGGACGTGATTGCCAACGTCAGTTTAGCGTGGATGTTTTTTTTCCGGGGGGGAGTTCCAGTTCCAGTTCCACTTCCAATTGTGGGCCCGGGTCTGGACGTGATTCCCAACGTCAGTTAAGCGTGGATGATTTTTTTATCCGGGGGGGAGGAGTTCCAGTTCCAGTTCCACTTCCAGTTCCAACTCGGTCCAGGTCTGGACGTGATTTTTAACGTCAGTTTAGCGTGGATGATTATTTTTTCTCCGGGGGAGGGGGAGTTCCAGTTCCACTTCCACTTCCAGTGGGGTACACTATGCTCATCGAAGTGACAGGCAAAAGAAGCACATCAGCCAATGCTCCTGAATGTAAGTGTTGCAGAAAATGCCAAGTGGCAATGAGCCGCCTGGGTCTGCTCTGGAGTTGAAAAATGCCCACGTTTTTGTGCTTCCCAGTTGCCTGCCACCATTCAATGTGTCAAGGTCAGGGACTTGCGAAACATCCGCCCAGTTTGCGGCTCGGCTCGCACAGCCCTAGATTCTACCCCTGTGCCCGGGCCTGACTTAAAGACTTTGAAAATGAGTCCTGTGCCAGGTGACGGTGGACCAGCCCTTCTTCCACATGATTCGCATGACCCCTGGGATCCTTGACATGATTCATTCGGCATCTATATATATATATGTATGTACGATGTGTAAATATATTTATGTATACACGTATCCGTGTGTGTGCGCGTGACCCATGATCGTGCAAAAGCCGATTGAATGGATGACATTACCAAACCACTAGCAGTGCTTCAACGGAGACAAAACAAATATATATATATATGTCAAAAACAATCAAAAACAGCTTACGCCCTACACGTCCTCGCCCAACAGCAACACCACATTGGCGGTAACCTGAGGCTCTCGCAGACTCGCAGAATGCAAAAAAGGATCAAACAGAATGCATCTCTGAGACTGGTGATCAAGGCCGAGCAACAGCCCCATGGGGTCCCTCTGTATTAATTACAACTGCACTGGAAAAGTCATGGGGAAGCAGCTCAAAGAGCAATGGTGGCATATGTTTGGCATCAATCTAGGTCAAAACGCATTGAATGCAAAACACATAGCTGTCAGCTGTAGAGGTCGGTAGAACGGTATAGCTCTCGGCACCTTTTGGGTCGGGTACAGTGGCATCTGCAAACTCCTCTCTTTCAACTGCTTGTGCCACCTTCTCGCCTTGGAAACCAAGCTTCTGAAGCGATGCCCTTGTTACTTGTAGCTTCTAGCTACTACTGCTAGCAGTAGTGCCCTTGTTACTGGTGTAGCGGTGCCCTTGATACGGATAGTGACCAGTTTCCACAACAAAATATGTTCAAATGTTCAACGAGGGCATCTTACAAAAGGCACTTGTAAAGTAACGGCCTTGTTAAGGAGACCATTTACCACCGCACGGTTCTCTCCTTTTTGCATTGGAAAGCAAGTGCCCAAGTGATAACAAATTCTGAAACATCATGCTGGTGGACGATCACACACATGGGAAAAACCGTACGGAACTGAATGCCACTCACCACACTGCAACCTAGGCACCCAAATCCTGAGAAGGCATGTAAGGGGGGTCTGATCATCGCTGGTCGTTCGGAAGTCACACCGGTGATCAGCCGTGATATCCGCATGTACTGTGGCCGCTTCGTTGGACCATCGCTCACAGCACATGGATGGTCCCCCTGCTAAAAGAATAGCAAATTCAAAGGAATCCCTGTGACTCCAAGGATTTCCGACACACACACACACCATTGAGGTAGATACTTAAATTTGAAGGGTTGGGATGTGATATGCTCAGACTATCTTAGACTCATGGATTCAGGGTTCAGCCAAGTGTAAAATTAGGTAGTACTAACAGCATCCGGGATTGAACAATTTATACTTATACAAATTTGCCTGCTATATCTTTTTACCAAAGCTCTGACAGGAACTGGTGTGAGTTTGAGGGGAAAACAAGTCACGCGGGCTGGGCTCGCCACGCTGCGGCCAGTTGTTGGCACCTGCCTCTTTGCGCACGATCACTTCTCCTCGAGTTCATGTGGCTAGTTGAGCCTCTTTGAAACATGTTCACGTGATTCTCATCTTGGCCGACCTCACCACATTCTGATATGTCTGACTCTTGACATCGGGGTCTTAATCAATAATGGAAAGTGTGCAATGACATCAGTCAGTCAAGCATGACTCCTGGTTCAAGTTCACCAGCCTCCTCTGCAATTCTGATGCGTTCCTGCTCTTGAAAGCAGTGAGCCAACCAATCAGAAAACATCAGCCTGGGACTGCTGATGAGCCTTCCTTGGATGGAATACATGAACCGAAACATGTATACAAATGTCTCACGAAGGGCCTTGATGCACGCCACACGCTCCGACATTGGGGTGCAGCCTTGCTTGTAAGGATTGCCTCGCGGATCTTGATCGGTCAATGTAGGAAAAACCATTTGGGACGCTCAAAATGGAAAGCCATCAAGCACAACCTGGGCCACAGGCTTCCTTGATTGGGCACTAGCCTCAGCAAAAGGCAAGCAACAGTTGGTGTTCGTCAGTGATGAGTTCTGGCTCCATCGCAAGTCGCAAGAAGACAATTTGACAGGACCTTGTCGCCACCCTGGTCAACACAGTTCAGGGGTCCAGGCACCACTCGCCGAAGACCGCACGTTCTCAAGGCCTTCCGTGCACCCCCGGTGGAGGCAATGCAAAACGGGCCCTTTCTCGATCTTTCTCGGACAAGAAGTCTCGACATGACAAAAAGTCTCCCAACATGTTGTGGCGCAAATGGACTTTGAGTCGAGAAGTGCTGACAGCCGAGGTTCCAACACACAATACCAAGCGAAAGTGGTTCTCGTGCAGCGGGTCAAACCTCGCAACTGAAGTGGATAATCCAAAAGTCTGTTTCGGAGGCAAAGTCTGAGTATAAATATATATACACACACACACACGCGCGCTGCACGCCTGGTGTCCAGAGTCCTGTGCATATTGAAAAGCACATTGCATTCAAATGAGGCACTCATGCTGAGAGCGCAGCGTCCCAAAATAGAGCCCAACCTTGGCATGGGTTTCATCATCACAGTCTTCCAAGCACACATTCAAAGCGTTAAATAAAAATAAATGTCCACACCAACCCCCTTCTCAACAACCAGTCAACAACTTAAACAGCATCCCCTTCACTGGTGCCAACAGGGCTTCTCGAACACACTGCTACTGAGTACTGGGCCAGTGCGCGGTGCTTGGCGCCAACATAGAGATAGTGCCTCAATTGAAATGCGTGCGTGGCATTTCGCTCTACAGACTCTACATCAGAGTATATAAGTAGGCCTTCAGCAGCTGCAGCCAACCAAGCACGCACGGCATCATTATTTTTTGCCTCTTCTGCCGCAGATCTCGGTGTGCTGGCCTGGTAAGAGTGTAGATGGGAGGGGGAACAGGATCACAACAACAAAGTGGTAACAATAATAATTGTGAACACTCCAGGACCTCCTGAGCTCCTCCTTCTCCAGTTTCTTCTTCCGATTGCTCTCTGTGAAGGCTAGTTGCATCTTCTTTACTGAGTGCATCGTCTTTTTGACAAGCAATCAGCCAGTAGGCTCGAGTGAGCTAGTAGTCTTGGGATTGGGCTCTGTCCGGAAAAGTGATCTACCGAACCAATGATGGTCGCACGAACAAATGCACAATTTTATTGCAAAATATTCAATCAACACACCATTGAACGCAGCAAAGTGTAATATGTTGAGTGCTTTGATACTTACACTTGGGCGGTACCAAAGCGAAAATCGTGTCATTGATCAAACGGGTCTGGCGGTGGGTGGCAAACGTGTGAAATGTCATTGTTCAATTGAGCTGTGCTGGAAACCTTGATAGATTGAAAGGTCGTATGGGAAGTCTTACGCTGAGACTCACGCTTTCCTTGCGCGCGCACAGTTTTAGCTTACACGTCTGGTTTGTGGTAGAAAGGGCTTACGCCAGAGCACTGCACTCAAATTTCCACACCCCTCCAAGAGAAAAGCTTACGCGAAGATGAGTTCATAGCAGGATAGATACACACACACACAAGGCAAGCGACCATTTTCACGCAGCACTACTTGCAAAGTGACTAGATAATATGCTTGATGAGGACGATGTGGATTCTGCATCAAACACCTGGTCAGACTTCATGGCCTCACTCTGGCGCTTGCGCTTTCTTGCTTGCCTGCTCAAAGTCTGAGCTGGCGCCATGCGTGGGCAACTGATTAGAAATCGAAGTTGTCTTTGCGCAGTGCTTACGCGGACCTTACGCCATGTCTGATCATTCCTTGGTTCAGAAAAACAACTTGTTTTCATTGATTGGGCCTTACGCCACTGGTTATGTTGAAAAAAACTTACGCAACCTTACGCGCAGCAGACTTTTGCTTACGCCAACCCTCCTTATGACCAAGCTCTTAACAAAAATGTAAGGGGAGGTTTACGGCGCTGCTCAATTTGCGATCACACTTTGCAAATCAAGCTCAAACATTCGACTAAGAATAGTTAACCTGGTGGTGTGATGTAAAAATCCTGACCAAAACAAGTGGTTCTTTGGAATGCCGATCATTCAAACGATTTGCAAAGTGTGATCGAAAATTGAACAATAAGACGTTTCACACGTTTGCCACCCACCGCCAGACCCGTTTGATCAATGACACGATTTTCGTTTTGGTACCGCCCCAGACTGTATTCCATGCTTACTCTTAATCTCCTCAGTGCACAAGTTCGACCCAGGCGCGGGCAGGCCCGGAGCTTCCAACAGGCCAAGGTTTCTGTAGGCTGGCAATGAAACAGTTCTTGCTAATTGACCCACAACAAAAAGAACGCTTCTCGGGACTAGTAGCCCTAGTAGCTATAATTATGTACCATTATGTACGCATGATTACGTATGTGCGTATAATGTGTGTACACATCCTGGCCTCATGGTCTTCAGCCGCTCTTTACGCAAAGCATCCGGCACCCAGGGCTCAAAACGGCCAGCTGGGAAGGACCGCCTCAGTCGCGCAAATGAGCTATTCATTGGAAGGTGCTCAGTTGTTTGGAGCAACCTAGGGCCAAGCTCAGTGCACATCGCAAACCGAACTTCTTGGTAAACCTTGCCAGATTGAAGCCACCAAGCCAAATGTGTTGCCAGGGTGCTGCTGGTTTTGCTCAAAGAAGTCGACATGAGGCTGAGTCAGCACAAACCTAATCTATTCGTTTGTGGCATGCGGGAGGTTCCAAATGAAAATAAGCTTGACACAGACTCAAGATGACACGAGTGACTTTTGCGAGATTGTGTCTGTGCATTGCAGACTCTGGCCAAACAACAACCTCAACAGCTTCGCCAAGTGGCTCTTTGATGTCATTGGCCTCTTTGGGCCTGAGGCAAGCTCTGACAAACTCAACGTGTCTGTTGTCTGCTGAGAATGAGTCAGCACTCACGTCAAGCTTCTGGTAAGAACTGCTACCCTGAAGCACGATACTGCCGAAACAAACTGCACTGCAAGGCCTGTAGGTCACGAACAATATTTGACCAGGATCAACCTGATCTCACAGCATCTCTCAAAAGCAGCCCCCTTGCAAAAAGCATTATATAAAAGAATGACATCCAAGCGCCTAGCAGCTAGTGGCGCATTGGTGCCCCATAGCCAATGAAGACAAGCAGCTGCGAAGGTATTCGCCGTGAGGCCGGCACTCTCTAACATGGTGGCCCAAAGCTGCGCCAAGTGATCCGTGCCCACTTGACCTCGAACTACTAACAAGGGCATGGCTATACACTTGCTCGTGGCAATACTACTAGGAA